ATCCATTAATTTCATGTCAAGAAAGTAAAAACTTGCTAAAAAAGGTGATAGAGGGTCTGATGGGGTTTACAAAATACTGAATTTAGGTATTATGAATAACTACTTTTCCTCTAAACAGAAAGCAAATCCTGGCGTACTTTCCTAACAAATATTAATGTGCTTGTGGATAGGGGAATGGGTGTGTATTAATTCAACATTTGTTGAACTGAATAAACAAATGTGTATTAATTCTACATTAAGTGATGATAGTTTTATGCTTTTATTTTAGGGAGTAACTTCCCATTTTGTACAGAGAGCAGAAGTTCTTGAGTTAAACTCCCTAGATCCAAATCATGGGTCTACCATTTTTTTAAAGATTCCATTTATTTATTTATTTATTTATTTTTAAGTTTTTAAAAAAGATTTTATTTATTTATCTGAGAGACAGAGAGAGAGAGATCACACGCAGGGCGTAGGGGTGGAGGGAGAAGCAGACTCCCCACTGAGCAGGGAGTTATTCACAAGACTTGACCCTAGGACTCTGGGATCATAACCTGAGCCAAAGGCAGATGCTTAACCGACTGAGCCATCTAGGTGCCCCTTATTTATTTATTTAGAGAGCGCAAGCAGGGAGAAGGGGAGAGGGAGAGAGAATCTCAAGTAAACTGCTAACTGGGCCTGGAGGCCAACACAAGGCCTCCATGACCCTGAGATCATGACCTGAGCGAAAGTCAAGAGTTGGTTGCTTAACTGATGGAGCCACCCAGGTGCCCCAGGTCTATCATTATTTTTTTAAGGGAAACTGACAGCTTATTATTTATATTATTTATAATGTTATTTTTTATTTATAAAAATAGCTAACATATGTAATGTTTAATATATGGCAGGCCCAGCTTAATTTAATTTACACTAACTCACTTAATCCTCACAAAGGATCCACCATTTTTTATGTCATTTTTGAATGAGTAACTCAGTCTCTCTTTGTGTCAGTTCCCTAGTGAGTAAAATAAAGGTCATAATAGCACTACCTCATAGGGTTCTTCATAAGAACTAAATGATACAATACACAGGGTGGTGTTTACAACAGTGGTCAGTACATCAGAAGCAGTAAATACATGAAAGCTATCATTAGTTATAACCATAAAACGTATTTTGCTGCAAAACAAAAATGTCTGAACTTCTGCTAAACTCCTTATCCCCTGAGAAATCATTCCTGAAGAATCTGTGATTCTTTGATATGATGCAAAATAGCTTCATGGTTTTTGTGAACGTTTTCTCACAGAACCCTATTAAAAAAGACTAGACTACCTTTTGAGTAGTGAAGTTTATTGCAAATTGCCACAGAAATGCTCTGTAAAGTAAAAATATATCTTATATTAAAAAATGCCAAAGGGCACTGGGTATTATATAAGACTAATGAATCGCTGAACTCTACCTCTGAAACTAATAATACACTATATGATAATTAACTGAATTTAAATTTTAAAAAATGCAAAAAGGTAATATATGGAGCAGAGCTAAAATATACTCCCCCATAAAATAAAATATAATGCCAGTACGGACACACTGTTAGTTTTTGTAAGATGATTTAAGGTTTTGTTTATTCAAATCAGCAAATATCATTAAGGATCTATTAAAATCTTAACTCCATGCTATGCTGAGTAAATGCAAAAGAAAAAGCAACTGTGTTCTTTCCCAGGGAATGATACTGGGATGCTGGAATGCTGAGACTGACATGCAGGAAACAACCAGAGTCACTAAGAGGACGAATATAATTAAGTGCTCAGTTGCATGGCACAGCTCATAAAAAGAGTTGTAGGAATTCAGAGCGGGAATAATAAGTCATAGAGTGGTTCAGGAAAGTTGCCCCTAGGAGAAAGGAGGAGGAATGTAAGAGTTTTTATGTATGATCTTGGTTAAGTTCATTAACCTCTCAGTTACTGCTTCCTCTTTTATAAAATTTGACAATTTAATGCATATAAAATGCCTAGCACACTCTAAAGCAAGACAGGTTTGTGATAGGGTCTTAGAGAATGAACAGTATCCACCTAAAAAGAATGTTTTAGATAGCAAGATAACCGTGTCGCGTAAGAGACACATACTCCTTTTAAAACTTTAGGTTCAAAAAGATAAGAAAAAAAGTCTCCAAGTAATAGCTGCAAATAATATTATTAATATATTAAGTACAATTTTCTGTGTCAAATAGCAATCATATTTTTTTTTCCTGCATGGCAAGATAACTCCTTGACCACATGAAACTTGGTGCAGACTGAAATCCTAAAGAGTTCCTTCTTCCACGAAAAGATTCTTTCTTAAAAGATTTTTTAAAAAAGTTGCAGGGGCACCTGGGTAGCTCAGTGGGTTAAAGCCTCTGCCTTCGGCTCAGGTCATGATCTCAGGGTCCTGGAATAGAACCACCCCCCCAAATCGGGTTCTTTGCTCAGCAGGGAGCCTGCTTCCCCCTTTCTCTCTGCCTGCCTCTCTGCCCACTGGTGATCTCTGTCTGTCAAATAAATAAATAAACTCTTAAAAAAAAGTGGCATAGAATACACAAATCTGCTTTTCCCTCTAAAACCGTGTTTCTCACTGGATCTTCTCTTATTCAAGTTACTTTAACTTACACTCCCCATCTTCTACAATGAAGAGTTATCATCACATCATTTCTCCAGTGGGACTTTCAGACAATTAAAATCAGCAGAAATTTAAGTTTTTCCTCATTTTTGTATATATTCAACCAAATATCCCATATCATGTCTTTTCCAAATGTACTGATAAGTTAGAGAAGGAAAGGATCCTCCACAGCGTCTCAACACTTAACACTCACCAGAATCCTGATTACATTTACATGCACCATCTATTGCTGGAGTCTTTCCTAACATTAGCAGTTAGAGCACTAATTAAATACACTTGCAGAAATAATAGTGCAAATAAACAAATAAAGTCACATCTAGTTATGGTGAAAGCCTGGAAACAGAGTCTTCTGCTTAAAAACAGAAGGCATATTAGAGTAATGAAAGTGTCCATTTTAGGCCAAATTAGATTATTCCAGTTCCAAAATAGAGGATGATTTCATGGCAATAAGAAAGAAGTGGGCCTTGTGGAAAATTCCATTATTCATTCTTATCTACAAGAGTAATTGTCAGTAATTGCCAAGCACCAAGCACCACAAGGGAGAAACTGTATTCTGTTCACTTGTTTCTGTATTTAACATTCTGATAACGTAACACTGTGCAAGGCAGTGTGCTACCTACTTGGTAAACAGTGGTAAACAAAACTATGACCCTGTCCTTCTGGAGTTCACAGTCTTCTCAAAAATTTTTTGTCGTAGGTTTTGGCTTTAATTTTCTCTTTCTGGATATTGCCTAATTCTGGTCTTGATAACCAAAGACGCTCAGGATGTGATACATCACAGCGGTTGGGCAGGAAGCAGGACCTCAAAAGGAAGCAATGGGCAAGGACGAAGGAGAGGCTGCTAGGCAAAACACGACACACACAGAGATGCAACCAAATTTCAATCCAAGGAGTATTCACTTCAATTTGTTTTCATAATAAATTCCCACAAACTTAGTAGTTTAAAACCACACAAATTATTATTTTTTATATTCTGGAGGTTAGACATCACAAAGATGTTGGCAGTGCTGCATTCCTTCAAGGCTCTACGGGACAATCTATTTCCTTACCTTTCCAGATTCTAGAGGCTGTCTTTATTCCGTGGATCCCGGCTCCTTCCTTCATCTTCAAAGTCCACAGCATGCATCTTCAAATCTCTTTCTTTTTCTCACCTCTGCTTTGATGGTCACACATTCAAAGACTGACACTCCAACCTCCTTCTCATAAGGACCATTATACATTACATGAGTCCCACCTGGATAATCCAGCGTAACCTTCCCATCTCTATATCTTTAACCTAACCATATCTGCTAAGTCCCCTTTGCCACAGAAGAGAACATATTCACAGGTTCTGATGATCAGGAGGAGGACATCTTTGGGGGCCATTATTAAGATAGCCTATAGTCCAAGGCAAAGGAAATAGAAAAAAAAAAAAAAGTTTGACTGTTTCGCACTTTGAGTCAACTAACTGCACACTGGCATTCTGCAAGTTTGTTTTCTGCTTCAAGACTACCTCAATTATTCATTTTAATTAGCTTTCCTTTATAAAAATCGTGGCAGGAGGTCCCCCACTGGTATTTCTCTGAGGCCTTGGAACTCTCTAACACCAGTTTTCTTCACAAGCCAATGAACTAAAGCAACCAGTTCCACTGACAACCCTCTTCAACTCTGGGAGCTGACTGCCATGAATACGTAGCTCAACCGGGCCAACCTTTCCTCTCTGCAGACCTCAATTCGTGAATAGATTAATAGTTTATTGGACCGAAAATAGCTTTTCTAATTTCCTGCAGTGAGAGGCCACGGAGCAAGATTCAGCGAAGTGACCCTGGTTTAATCCCTGCAGACATTATGTAGCACAAACTCCTCTTTGAGGCAGATTATACATTTAGAACTAGCAAGGGATAATACTATGCGTCACTTTAGCGGTAAAAAGCCGCGGAGTAGTTTTTTCTCCCAGTGATGTTAGAGGCCAAAGGGATTTCTACTCGAGAAGAGATAAACAATTTGCTGTTCATGTTAGTTTAAAAATAAAGAGATTTTTGCTCCTGGCCACTATGGGGTAACAAGGAATAGATTTACACTCCTGCCTGAAAAATTCCCACGCAAAACCGGTGAAACACGTTTTCGGACGACGACAGGCAGGGTAGTGCTGGGGTCGCCACAATTCACCCCAGCTAACTAGCATGCTGGAGGCAGTTTCCAGAGGTACCGCAGGGAGGGTCCTCACTGCCTTCAGTCTCTCATTCCGAAACACAGTTATTAACGTAAGTCAAATTACTGCTTCACCCCCACTAAACTCACACAAGTAAAAATACGATAAAACTGCAGGAAAGGGCGGAGCCAATCCCAACTTCTCGCATTGCGGCGAGATCTACGGCCCTGACGTCAACCTCGCGGAGACGCTCGCGAGAGTAGAGAGTGGGCGGGGCGAACCGCCGGCTGGCGCGCGGGCGGTCTCTGTGAGGAAAACAGACGTTAATCTGCCGTTGGTCGGGTTGCTATGGACATGAGCCTCCTGGCTGGGGTTGAGAGGTCCCCTTCCCCGCAAGCCCGAGGTCTCACGACTCCCGGCGATGTCCCGGGAGACCCGGACCCACGCCACAGCCTGAAGCTCCGTGAGGAAACCGAGGCATCACAGGTGATGGCGGAGCCGGGTGCGGGAAGCTTGAACGCGGCGGCGCTCCCACCGCCTCGGCTGCCAGAGGGGCGGGGAGCCTTCCACGCCCCCGCGGGCTGTGACCACCCAGCCCCGATCCGAGGCGGTGGGGATTGCGGTTTCGAGGCGACCGAAGCGGGGCAGGCGGAGGCTCCGCCTCTCACGGAAGGCCTGGAAGCTGTGCCGGTGTCCGTGGCAACGGACAACAGCCTGAAAAATGGCTGTCAGAGCGGAGAGCCGCGCGGCGCCGGTGGGGAGAAGCCAGAGAGCTCCGGGTTTGAGGTGTTGGCAGCGGTGAAGGCCGAGGAGGTGGAGACCGAGAAGTGCACCGTTTCCTCGGTAGCAGTGGATGAGGAGGTGGTGGAGAAGGAAAAAGTGAAGGAGGAGGAGGAGGTGGAACAAAAGATGGAGGTAGAGAAGCAAGGAGGTGAAGAAAGAGAAGTGTTGGAGGAAAACAGAGTGGGGGAGGAGGAGAAGGAAGAAGCAGGGCCCCGACCCTTGAATATGGATCTCCGCATGAACCCCCTGGAAGCCATCCAGATGGAACTGGACACTGTGAATGCTCAGGCCGACAGGGCCTTTCAGCAACTGGAGCATAAATTTGGGCGGATGCGTCGGCACTACCTGGAGAGGAGAAACTACATCATTCAGAATATCCCGGGCTTCTGGGTCACCGCCTTCCGGAACCACCCCCAGTTGTCCCCCATGATAAGGGGCCAAGATGCAGAGATGCTAAGATACATAACCAATTTGGAGGTCAAGGAGCTCAGACACCCTAGAAGTGGCTGCAAATTCAAGTTCTTCTTTCGAAGAAACCCTTACTTCAGAAACAAGCTTATTGTCAAAGAATACGAGGTCAGAGCCTCCGGCCGAGTGGTGTCTCTTTCCACTCCCATCATATGGCGCCGGGGCCATGAACCTCAGTCCTTCATTCGCCGGAACCAAGATGTCGTCTGCAATTTCTTCACCTGGTTTTCAGACCACAGCCTTCCAGAGTCCGACAAGATTGCTGAGATTATCAAAGAGGATTTGTGGCCCAATCCACTGCAGTATTACCTGTTGCGTGAAGGAGTCCGCAGAGCCAGACGTCGCCCAATAAGAGAGCCGGTGGAGATCCCCAGGCCCTTTGGATTCCAGTCTGGTTAATCTCTGCCTTTGGAAATACTGCACAAGGTCCCCTCCCACCTCTTGCTGGACCTGTGCTCGGACAACAGAAATGGGTATGCCTTTTTTTTTTCCCCCTGACATTTCTACAGCCTTTTTCCTCTGGACATTGTTTTCTCAACCTCAAGACTGAGACTTTGAAGGCCATGGTCCTCCATTTCCACATGGCCTTCATGCCATTCTGCATTACTGTCTCATGCCGCATGGTCATGATTCACATTACTCCTAGGCCAAGCTCATGATGCTGTAAATTGCATTACCTTTATCTGCACTGCATGGACCCTGTTTGTTCCCAGGGCCTTTGGTCTGGCTCTTAACACCTGGAATTCTAGCTTTGCCTAGAAGCTCATTCTACCCACTTTGCTCTTTAGTACAGGCACGTAGCCTGTAGACAATTGTGGGACAGAGAGAGCAGCAGTGTACCACTTAGTCTATGTGATTTATGTAATTCCATTGCTCTTCTTGCACCTCTGGTCACCTCCTACTCCCTACTACTGGCCGTGCCTACCCACCTTGGGCCCTTGCCTACCTTGCAGATAATTGTTGGCCCCACTGTCTGGTTTCTGGTAGACAAGAATCTCTAGAACTGCGGGGGGACCCAGGTTTCCTGCCAGCATACAAACACCCTTCTCTTCCTCCCCCCAAAAGATCTCCTAGATTTCCTCACCTCCCCTTCCCTCCATCTTTGTGATCCAGAACACTACTAACTGTCAAGCTAGTGGTCAAAATGACATGTTAAACCTTATTCTTATGGCAAGAGTAAGGATGGTGTCCATTCTAATTACCAGGCTTTCTTGGCCTCAACTAGTAAATTCACACAAAACTTAGGTATACCTCTTGTGCCTCCTCTCCTTAACCCTGAACGCTATTAAATGCCAGGGTGGCAGTACAATTTCTCTCTCGTCTCCTGTCTCTTAAAGAAGAAGAAAAAAAAAAGATAGCTCAAAAGCGCCTGCAAAAGCAGGCCTTTTAGTTTAATTTGGTTTTAGCTCTTCATTATTTCCAGGGACAGGTTGTCCTGTAAAATAGACTGCTGGAGCTCTTTCCCTCTGCTCTCTTCCCCACTCTCCACTCCTTTAGCAACACCTAGAGGATTTAAAGGGAGACAGATCTAGATGAAATGAAAAATTATATCTAGTTTATAGTGGATGGAAGAACCCGAGATTTTGATGGGTTCCCTAAGTGGGGAAAACTGAGCAGATGACCACAGGCAAAAAATGAGCAAGATAAAAATTGGGCTAAGATTAAGACTGGCTGACAGAGCCTTCAAGGAAGAGGTTTTCTCTTGCAGTGGTAATGGGAGGAGAAATACTTTTTTTCGGGATTTCCATGGGTGAATTGAGAGGGATTGGAGTGTGAAGTGTACTTCCTAGAGAAGAGGAAGGAAACAAAGCAACTTCTGAAGCTTTCTCTTGTTTTCATTTGATTTAATTTATGCAAAAGATTAATACTGTGTTTTTTGTTTTTCTAGTGTTTAGTAAAATAACATTTTCTGTTTCGGCTTACTGGGAAAATTGAGTTGTATAGGTTTTCTTTTTTGCTTTCAATTGGGAATATTTGGAAAAAATAACTTTTACTTTCCTGTAAGGTACAGAGACTTAAATGAATATGAGAGTTTTCGACTTCTTATTTCTGTTAAAACTGTATCCTTCGACATAGAAATTGAGTAATTTGATTTTGTCAGATTCTGAAGACTGGAGATTGTTGTCTTCATGGAAGAATAACCTACAAAAGATGTTTGGTTTGATTGTCTTGCTTGATAATTTATCCTGGTTACAACTTAGAAACCGATGCGTCTTTTTTCCTAAATATAATACTTGTGAGATTGCTCTGTTCAAATTGAAATGTACCATTGGCATATTTGTTTTTTTTTTTTAGCTGTAAAAACTTGTGTCATAGTAAAATAAAAGCATGTTAAGCTGCTAGATTTCTTATTTTTCACCCTGCCCATAAACTTGCATGAAGAAATTGCTTAAAATAACAACAGATTATAGAACTTAAAGTTCTAAAAATGGATACAACAGACATTATCCCAAAAGTAAGAAACTAGGGCACACTGCTTGTACCTTACAAGGTTGGGAGGGTGGTTGTTCTGGGTTTGGCTTTAAAATGTTAACAGTTGCAAGTGCATACTCATGATATCACTTTTTTCCATATAGCTTGTACAACACCACCACTTCCTTCACTTCCTTAAAGCCTCCATTTCTGTCTGTAAATGATATTCTCAAGTTATTCAGGCTTTTTTTAATCACTTGCACGTTTAATAAGCAAACAGTTTGTGTCATAAGTGATAAATTCTTCTATCCTCATACTTTCTTAGCTGTAAAAACTTGTTCATTCTTTTCTTCAAACTTCCCCACCTTCTATTCCTGTCAAATTTTTCAAGGCCTCAGATGTAACTCTTCTGCCTTAATTTTTTCTGTTCCCATTAGAGAAGATGAAATGTCTTCTCTAGTACTTGGTGTATTTATAGGGACTTTTATTTTAGAAAATAGCATAGAGTTTGTTAACAGCATATTCCACAAATACTTACTAAGGTATTTTGTCAGGCCTTGGGAAGATAACAAGAATAAGATAAAATCATTTCCTTTATTGTTAAAGAATTGGGGAAAAACTGATAAGCAGACAAATGACACAGTGATACAGTAAAATACAAATATACTTTCACTTCCTTTCTATCGAGTTTGTAAGCTCTGTGAAAGCAGAGATGATGGGGTATCTTATATCTCTCACTGCTTCTAGCATATTTTGCACTTAGTTGTTACTAGATAAATATTGAATGATAAAATGAATAACTCAAATGGAAAAAAAGAACAAAATACCCTAGTACCCAAAAAGACTTGATGAAATAATGGGAAGAAGGTGGTTTTTAAGGCATTTGTAAAATTGAGGGGAAAAAGTTTACAAAGCCTTTTTTTTTTTTTTAAAGATTTTATTTATTTATTCCTCAGACAGAGATCACAAGCAGGCAGAGAGGCAGGCAGAGAGTGAGGGGTAAGCAGACTCCCTGCAAAGCAGAGAGCCCGATGCAGGGCTTGATCCCAGGACTCTGAGATCATGACCCAAGCCGAAGGCAGAGGCTTTAACCCACTGAGCCACCCAGGTGCCCCTACAAAGCTTTAAGTAAATTTCTTTTTTAAGTGATTAGAAAAGTCTAAATCCTATAACATTTAACCTTTCACTTGCTATTTTAGCAGAGCATTACTTAACTTTGGATCAACAATTATGTGCTTTATTTTTGTATATTTTAAGGTAACTGTTACACTGGAGATAGGAGTTAGACTCTAGACGTGTGCTGTCCAATACAGTAGCCATTAGCCACCAATAACTACTGAGCAATTGAAATGTGTCTAGTCCAAATTGAGGTCTGCCCTGAGTGTAAAATAAACACCGGATTTCAAAGATTTAAGTATGGAAAAACTGTAAAATACCTCAATTGTGTGTATTGATTGCATGTTGAGATGGTAATATTTTTGATACGTTGGTTAAATATATTAGTACAATTTTCCCATTTATTTGTGGCTACGGGTAAATTTTAAATTAGATGGACAGCATGGTTCTAGGCTTCTTGGATATCTCAAAAGTGTATAAAATACATGTGAAACTTTCTCCCTGTGAAATTTTTTTGTGACTTTAAGACAAGGGTTATCTAGTTAGAATTTAAGATGGGTAAAGTACTGCTAGATGCCAATGGGTTAAAAAAAAAAAAAGTGTAAAAGTGAAATGTCTCCTATCAACTTTTCCATGAGTACCTTAAGATATACTCACTACTTCACACCGTGCTTAGGTGGCTCAGTCTGTTAAGTGTCTGCCTTTGGTTCTGGTCATGATCCTGGGAAGCCGGGATCGAGTCCTGTGAAGGGCTCCTTACTCAGTGGGGACCCTGCTTCTTCTTCTGCCTCCTGCTCCCTCTGCTTGTGCTCTCACTTTCTGACAAATAAGTAATATATATAAAAAATATACTCTTTACTTTGTAAAACAGAGTGTGTACAATTGTTTCTGGTTCTAAGTAGAGTACATTTGGGTGTCAAATTGGCACTAGTAGTTATATTGGGTTATCTAAAGGAGTCTCTAATTGATATTTAGGACCTATAGCTTCATATTTTTCTAGAATAAAGTGTTCTGTATCTTTGGTTTACAAAAATGAAGCTCAGAACAGATACAGTACATGAAGCTCAAAAAAGATAATTTCTGTTATCAAATATACCATTTTGTGTATGTTAACATAGGCTCTAAATTTTACCAATTGGTCAGGCAACAGAAAGAATCTGAATCTAGCATTGCATCAAGTCAATTTAATGCTCACCACTTGAAGCATATTTTATTTTTGAAAAGTAGTATAGCCTCGCAGTGCAGCCTTGCCGCAATTATTATTTTATAGTGCTTATTAAGGATTATATGGGATAGTAAAGTGAAGGTTGTCCTTGCTCTTGGGGAACTCACTGAAGGGGTATTTTTTCCTTGAATGTTTCCTCTTCAGTAATACTCAAACCAGTCATGTACAAAAGAAAACTCAGGATTAACTTGGCAAAAGAAGTTGTCAGAGATGATCACGACTGTCCTTTCAGGGCTAATTTCCCCTTAATATATAATTGAAGTCCTAGACTATGATGGATATAATATTTATCTATTCACTATATATATGGGAGTTATTTCATTTGTGAGCAGTACTTTTCGTTGCTTGAAGTGTTTTATTCAGTTCTGAAGGGCCACATTAATACATGTTCTTTGGCCTCTGGGGTTCTCAAGACTTACAGAAGAGTTTGTGTTAGGCCACACTAGGAAAATGTCTACTTTTTTGGCTTCACTTTTTCAGTATTTGCATTTACTGTTTTTTGGGTTTTTTTTTTTTTTTGAGAATAGGTGAAGAAGAAATGGTTCTGTTAAAAGTAAAAAGGGCCACTTAAGTAAGCTGCTAATTTTCATAAATACCAGGATGTCTTATTAGTGGCCTTAAGAGACAGAGAAGACACACTAGCTTTATTTTATTTATCTGTTTATTCAAAGATTTTATTAAGTAATATCTTCACCCAACATGGGGCTTGAACTTAAAACTCTGAGATCAAGAGTCACATGCTC